TGACTGTATGGTGAGAAAGTGGTGACATGAGGTAAGTGCGATGCCTCCTGTAACTGAGGGCTATACACATGGCCTTTAGTATGGAATTAGTTAATATCAGATAGCATTGCACACTGAAAATGTGGGAAGTTAGTGCTCAAGTAAACTGTGTGATAGGGAATAAGCATTCAATTTACATCCTTCAAGCATTTATTTCTCATCATTTCAGGTGAGAGGTATGAAAAGGGCTGTGAATTCCCTACTACCCTTGTTATAGTATCACAGAAGGTTAAAGTTAGCCATTGTGAATGAAATCAAGGTCTAGAAGGAACGGATTTCCATAGGAACTATTGGGATCTCTCACTTTAACTTTGGTAGATGTTCATTCGGGTCCCAAAAGAAACAGAGACAATACTATGTTTAACCATTTGAAATAAAGAATAGAGACATAGAGTCATACAGCATAGATACAGACCCTTAAGTCCAACTAGACCACACCGACCACATTCTCAAACTACCTTGCGGGTGTGGGAGATCAGGGCAGTCAGGATAGGTTTGCAAAGTAGACGAGGGTATGACTCATTGGGTCACGATCTCCCTTTTGAGTCAATCAGTTATGGGTTCAAGTCCTACTCTAATGATTTGAGCAGTACCTTCAGTCTGTGTCTCCAGTACAGTGCTATAGAAAATGCTCCACTGCCAGAGATGCCAGGGACGAAATGCTAAATTGAATCCCAGTCTGCAATCTCCGATGGATATGAAAGATTCCTTGTTTCTATTATAAAATTAGTCTTAGTAACAACCCATGGCAACTATCATGGATTGTTATAAAAACCCATCTGGTGTTCTTTGCTTACATGTGGCTCAGCAAACTTAATGGCCCTCTGAAATGGGTCACTCAGTTGAAGGGCAGTTAGGCATGGGCAACAAATGCTGGCCTTGCCATTTACACTGACATCCCATGAAAGAATAATAAGAAAAGAAGCTATCACAATGAACAGCAACAAAGTTCTGTCTAGGCATTAAAGGCAAAATTTATCCATCAGTTTTCATTATGAAATAGCTCACTGTGCTCAGATTGCTGTTGTTTTACTTGTTGCAACAGGGACTACACAACAAAGTAAAAACATTTTTGGCTGTAAAGTGCCTTGAGACCCCTTGGGGATGTAGAAGATACTATACAAATGCAAATCTGTATTTCTTAATAAGTTGTGCAGTCTATAATCGCAGTAAGCACCATATGTAGCCATTGGGGAACAAAGTCTAATATACCTGAATTAAAATTTAACATATTGCAGATCAAAGGATATATTCACTATTTGATAAGTGTTTTACAGAATGTTATATTCCATACCTGTGACCATAACATTCCAAGTGTACCCTTGTCTTCCAGTATGGGCAAATATTGGCCACACTTCCCTGTTGCTGCTGCAAACCTGTAAACTTTCCCCAATTCTTGACCTAATATAACATTATGCAACGAATATAGAACTTTCTTTCCTTTAACTTATGTCCAAGAATTTATTATTTCTCTACAATCTGAGAGGAGCAAATCCCTTCAAAGTAATTCATCTCTTTGATGAATACTTTATCACAAAATCTTACCAGATTCTTAAAATGCTAGGTGTATATTTAACACGGCAGCTTTGGACCAAAGCAATTCCTGTTGGATTTTTTCAGAACTAGGAAATCAAAGCAACAAGTTGCAGCTTACTAATTAAGGAGTGCAAGCAAGGGAAGGATGCATTATATAGAGGCACTAGAGAGGAGGGTGAAAGGGAGGGGAGGGAAAGGGTTTTCTTTTTAATTCATTCATGGGGCGTGGATGTCATTGGATGGGCCAGCATTTATTGCCCATCCTATTTACCTTTGAGAAGGTTTTGGTGAACTGGCTTTTGGAACCACTGAAGTCCATTTGATATAACAACATGCACAATGCTGTTAAGGAGGGAGTTCCATGACTTTTACACAACAATAGTGAAGGAATGATGGTATATTTGCAAGTCAGAACGATGAGTGACTTGGAGGGAAACTCAAAATTACTCTAAGTCTATAGTCATCCCACTTTGCAGTACTTGGCCAGTAGCCTTGAATGCTATGACATTTCAAATGTTCATCCAAATATTTTTTAAAAGTTGTGAAGTTTCCTGCCTCAGGAACCCTTCCAGGCAGCTCTTACCAGATCTCCAACACCCTCTGGATGAAAAGATGTTTCTATTTCCTAAGGAGCCTTTGTGAGTTTCTGCAGTGCGTCTTGTAGACAGTACAGAATGCTGCTACTGAGCGTTGATGGTGGAGGGAGTTGATGCTTATGGATGTGGCTGCTTTATCCTGAGTGGTGTCAAGTTCCTTGAGCATTGTTGGAGCTGCACTCATCTAGGGAGTGGGGAGATTTCCATCACACTCCTAATTTGTGCCTTGTAGATGGTCAACAGGCTTTGGGAGGTCAGGAGATGAGTTACTCAGTGCAGAACTCCCAGCCTCTGACCTGCTCTTGCAGCCACAGTCCCAAGGTGTATTGAGGGCTGACAGAAAATGGTGACTTTACCAGCAGTATCCACATCCTGTGAAATAATTGAATCGCTCCCCTGAATGAATTAAATATTTATAGAAAGGACTGGGGCAAGGAAGAGTTTTTTTAAAAATAAAATCCTGACAGAGTTCCCTGCTGAACAGATACAATATCACAATGAATAATAGAGGAAGTCGGAGCGTTAGATAAGAAAAAAACACAACAGGTATGACAGGCAGTAGCTAAAATTGGGAAATACTGCACCTGTCCCGCTGTTTCACAAACTTTACATTCCAGAGGGAATAACAACATGTTCATACCCTCTTGCTGTGTAATTAAATGTAATCACCTAACCAGGCTATCTATAGTATATCTTTAGTTCCTATTCTTAGTTGGCTCTGGGCTAGAGGTTAAAGAGGTCACTTTCAGCAATCTGAAAAGGCCGTTTTTTTTTCAAAGGAATCAGAAATTGGAAACTCAGTATTGTTTTCGTTCCAGTTCTCCCTTCTTTGTTCCCTCCTGAACGCACTGTCGTTCCCCCTACCCCCATCCCCCTCCACGCCTGCTCTGAACTATGGACAAACCCACTGATATCCCCACCATGCCCACACTGTTGCAGGAGAGACACTGTCTTTGCCACAATGGGTTCAGAGCGAATTGTCCGCGTTGTGTTAGAACACACCCAATTTTCTTCACTAAAATACCAAACACATCAGTCCGGTCATTAAGAGCCCGTTTAGAGTCAGTCCATCATGGGGAACCAGCTTCGATTCCTTGTGTGTCGCTAAGCACAGGTCACATTACAGTCCTAGCTCAATATCTTCCTAAGCCAGCTTCTGTGCAGGTACATTCTCCATCAGGGATTACGGGACAGCGAGCAGCAGCTTGTCATTTTGCTAACCCCTCACTTTCTTTTAGCAGGGTGATTTGACGCCAACTGTTGCAGCTATAATGTGTGTCCGGCAGAGATCAGCTTACTCAGCAGATTGGGGTTTAATTAACCCTCGGACCTTCTGCCTCAGTGTTGCAATTGGAGCTTGCATTGCACAGCATCCCTGAGCCACTCCATAGGAGCAATTGTCAATCGGCTCTATCTAGAATTGGTAGGACAGGTCGGTCAAAGCTGCAGGCTTTAGGCAGCATCTTAAGGGCGGAGACCAGGGAGTTAAGGGCAATATAACCTGAAGCAGCTTATTCAGATCCCCCCAGATTGATACTGTAATGTCTTGCTGCCAAGAGCAACAGTATGTACATTAGTGTTACTAACAGGGGAATACTAACGTTACCCAGACAGTCCAGGCGAGTGGGGTGCCAGAGAATAGGCCACTGTTGCTTCTCCAAGGGAAGATGGGGTTGAAGTGGGCCAGGGCGGGTAAAGTTAGCAAAATAAACATCCAAACCTTTGTCAAATCCATACCAAACTTGTAAAACTTCCCATCAGTAGACAATAAAAGTAGGATATGGGGAACAGATGTTTAAGGGTTGTGACTTTCGAGTTTAGGATGGGGAAAATCCAAAGGATTGGGGAGAGAGAAATAAAAAACAAGGCAATAAAGTAGCTACAATTTGGCAAGGATCTGGTTAAACCAAGAATTTGGTCTCGAAATGAGAATCAGATAATCAAAAGCGAGCTCCGATCTAAAGGCAAGCCTCTCATGTCAGAACCGCAGTTACAAGACCCCAGCGTTTCAAAGAAACGACTGTCAGAATTCGTCAACGCGATCATTTTTACAGAGGAAGATGTGAAAGGTCGGAGGACCGAGCTGTCAGTTACACCTCAACTATAATATTTCCAAATCGCGTTTCATATCTTGCAATTTAATCATTGTCTTCTAATAATGAAGTGTGATAGTTTTGGGTTTTACAACACATGCAATTTCTGGGTTGCAGTTTCAGCATTAAAATATGCATTCGTGGTTTTTTTTTCCCCAAATACTTGAATGAAAAAGCTACGAGTCAGCAAACTCGGAATCCTCTCTTGGCAGGGCTAGCCTCTGCTGAATTTTTTAAAACTATTGTTCCCTTTGTCTCGCCGACGTTATAACGAAGACAACTCGTAGTTGTTTTTGTTTTGTACCGGTCAGTGTTGGGAATCTCACAGTGACAGATCAACAAGTTTTTTTTTCGAGCAATATAATCTCGAAAAGCCACTGTCCGCTTCCTTCCACAATGTAGTCCTGTGACTACAAATCAACAATTACAACATCAAGAAATCCAGCAAATCCGTGACCTCTCGCCACCTAATAAATCCATCGTCCAGAAGTTTCACTGGTTTGGACAAAGGCGAACGATTCTCTGTTTAGGAACTGCTTTCGATAGACGAGTGGATTGGCATTATGTAAGGAACAGCGATAGCAGATTGGTGCACACGGGTGCATAAAGAGATTTTTTTACACACACACACAAGACATAAGCACAGAACAGTTAAGGAAACATCGTTCTCTTTAAACATTTAGGAAGATTCCTTAAAATATATATTGCAGCACGCGAAAGCGATCTGTGAACTCACCGTTCTCACTGACCCGGACCCCTAAGTTCTCCACAGTGTCTGTAAGAGACCTGGTTATTGTATACGAGTTGTCAAGGTGCTGTTGAGAAGCTGAGACTGCAGCAGAGGGAGAGTGAAAACCATCTAATTTCACCTTCTTAACGAGGAAAGATCGAGGCATGTTTTTAAAACAAAACAGAAATAAGCAAAAAAATAAAATAAAATCCACGGTGTTATTCCGTTATCTTTTCCTTATTGTCCTGAATTGTCAGCACCCAGGACAGCTCTTAGAACGGTGTTGCACAGGCTCGTGTGGCAGGGAGGAGGGAGGGAGGGAGAGAGGAGGAGGGATTGGCAACAGAAGCTGAGGTCAGCAAGCAGACAGCATTTATATGGAGCGCAGCCTCTGAGATCAGGTGGTGCCTAGAAATGGAGCTGCTTAACTTTAATCCATCAAATGTCTCTAGAGAGGCACATCAAATTACAGCTGAGCAGTTTGTGCATATATACACACACGCACTATAATACAAGTGCGCCCGAGAGAAAAAAAAAATAGTCCTTCTTGTGAAGAAACCCCACAGTACACAAGAGCTGCTGGGAAAATCCCATTTTCCAGAATTGTAAAAATGTACATCTCTATAGAGAAAAGATGATGCCTATCTCTTCTCCCCCACCCCCACCGTTCGCCGTGTGATATAGGAACAGTCCGCGCCACGTAGGAAATGAACTTCCACTTTTATTTCTTCAAAGACTAATCATTGTGGGATTGGACGCTTTGGTGACGCTAATAATGTCACAGATTGGCAGATAAAAGCATCGTAAAATGTCGCAGGTAGAGGAGTCTCCATGTGCATTTTTGAAAGCATTAAATATAATTAATAATCACAATTAATTATTAATATGTAGTCTGATATGGTAACAACCAATTCCCCTAGGATGTTAAACTGCCCTCTCAGGATCATACTAGATACTGAACTATACACAGAGGGGTTGGGGCATAGATTATACCCACATCCCTAAGATTTTGTAAAACAAAACCTGCGAGGTTTGTAGCTTGCAGAGTCTTTTTTAAAAATAATCTACAGCTTCCGAGAGAAAGGTTTGGTCTTTGGTATTTTCTAAGTTAGGTTTCAACCAGGACAGCTGGGTTCCCAGTGTCTGCAGGTCAAGTCAAGAAGAAGATGAGCTGGAGTTTTTTTTATGCCCCTGCTTCTGATTGCTATACATTGACCCCTGCTGGAAGTTTGGGTCAATGGATGTTTGATGAGGATAGGTTTGGGGGGTCAGCTCTGACGTCGCACAGCCTGTCAGTGTTCATTGTGTAGGCTGACACATCAGTGAATGATGGCCTCCTGGGTTAGATATGGGAGAATGCTAAACTGCTGATGTGACTGTTCGCCAATGAGAGAATCGAACCTTTCGCCACAGCAGAAAACAAAGAGAAATGGAAACTGTCTCTACCAGATCCTATTAGGTCACACATGATTCACTGGTTTAAAAGATCACTTGTCTCGCTGTCCATATAATGACATCCCAAACAATTAGTCCTGCATCTGTATCAATAGACCACCTGTTTACAAAGACCACCAACCCCCACCCCTCACCCTCCAGCTCGTGGTCAATCTCAGGGGGCGTTTAGAGTACATCAGCCATCCAGGTTTTGTGACTAGGTCATCTTGACCCCTGTGGGGAGGGGAAAAATTTTCAGCCTGCTGTTAACTCAACTGCATTCAAACTGTTCTTGGAGACAAAACTGCTGAATATGCTATAAAGAGAGGGTAGGTGAAGGTTACAGGAAATCTGACTAGAAAGTAAGGACGCAGCTCAATCTATGTACAACACAGCAGCAGAGTACATCTAAATACTTCTCAAATATTATGAGGGTTTCTGCCTATTCCACCCTTACAGGCAATGAGCTCCAGATTCCCACATCCCCCCTAAAGACTCTGCCCCTTACCTGAAATCTATAACCCTAAATGTCACTTGACAACAGCCCCTCCGCAAACCACCTTCTGGAAGCAGTGACTGCACTTATGCAGATTTTCCCCACGTCAGCCAATCAGCGTCACCACTCTGCTGCCCTCTTCAAGGTGATGGGCTGAAAGGTGTTTTTTTCTGTATTGTAGACCTCTACGACTCTGTGAGTCCTTGCTTTCAGATTATTGCTTATATATCTTCTGGTTATTTTTCTAACTTAATGGCAATGTTGTCATAAAGAAAACCATTTTTATGAGTGGTTAGTATCTGGAATGGTGCAGTGGGTAGGGTCCCTGCATCTGAGCCAAAAGCAATGGGTTCAAGCCTCCCTCCAGGACAAGATGGTCAAAGGAAGTGCATTCATAATGTTGCCAAACAGTTTGAGAATTGACTTGTAATTCTTTCCCACATACAACAATGGCAGGTGGTAAGAGCAGGAGAGATTCCTAGTCAGCCATAGGAGAAAAAAAAATGCTGGAGATTGTACTGTCATCATCCATAACTGCAAATTATTATAATGTTCAAGTTACAACATGCAAGCATATCTTGCCGTAGCAACTCAGACTCCTAGTTGGTGGGAGGTTGTTAGTTAGCTGGACAGATGGCATGTCCATAGCAAAGGGTTCAAACCCCATTCCAGCTGGGATTTATATCTTGCTGTACCTGAGTGGTACTGTCAAGTGGACTGTCTACTGTCAGACCTTTGGGCAGAGAAATCAGAGTGTCCAAGTGAGGAGCATATGTAGGCCAAAGAGCCCCTCAAGTCTGTTCTTCCATTCAGTAAGATCATGGCTGACCCTTTTCTGTTCCAAATTCCATATTTCCATCTAATCCTGATAACTTTTGATTCCCCGACCTAACAATCTACTTACCACAGACCTAAAAATATTCAATGACTCCTACCTCCACTGCCATCTGAGGCAGAGAATTCCAAAGTTGCACGAACTTCTGAGACAACATTTTTCTCTAATCTCTGACCTGAAAGGGCAAACTCTGATTTCAAAACAGTATCCCCCAGTTCTGGATTCACCCACCAGAGTATAGATCTTTTCCATGGTAGAAACCATTCAGGATCTTATAAACTTTAATTAAATCACCCTCACTCTTCTGAACTCCAGTGAAAACAAGCCCAGCCTCTCAAATCTTCCCTCATAAGACAACCCGCTCATTCCAGGCATCAATCTAGTAAAACTTCTATGAACATCTTCCAATAAATTTACATTCTTCCTTAAATAAGGAGACTGAAACTGCACACAGTGTTTGAGATGTAGTGACACTGATGTCCAATATAACTGAAACATAACAAGAAGAAGGAGGAATGTCTAGACTGCACTGTGTGAGAGCATCACAGAAGAAGGTTTTATCAAGGCTTTCAAAAAGGTAATTAGATAATTATCTGATAAGAAAATAAAAGTTTACAGGGAAAAGGAGGGGGAATGGGATTAAGTACACTTGTGCTATCTTGTAGAGAGCCAATAAAGTTAAAACATTTTCAGGCATTTTCTGTGCTGTAACCATTCTGCAATCCTATAAATCTTGAGCCAAGTTTACCAGTTTGACGATGGAATAGTGTAAGGGGTAAATGTAAAATCACCATTGTCTTACCAGTAGATAGGACTGCACTCTCATCAGAGAGAAACAACTGGTGGTGGTTTAACCTGAGTGTCAGGTGAGGGAGAGGTTGTGAAGAAGAGCCCTTCATGGTAACCTCAGCTGGTGCAGCAATTGAACCCATGTTGTGGGTATCACTCTACATTACAAACCAGTTAGCCAGCCATCTTGGCTAACCAACCCCAGTGGAATGGTATACGAAGCCATTGGGCCAACTCACAAAGCCACAGGATCCACTTCTATGAATCTAGTTTGGATACATGGATCAAAAATTAAGGCCCTTTACAGATGGAGACTAGGGGTCTAAGCTCTTTAAAGGATCCCGTTAAGAAATGAATGGCCTGTGAGTGACTCAAGATTTTTCAGAAGTTCCCAATCAAAGTTAAATTCTTAAAATCATTGGACTAGTCATCCAGAACTCTGGGCTAATGTTCGGGGCCATGCTTTCAAATCCTACCGTAGCAGATGGTGAAATTTGAATTCCGTTAAAAATAAAATTCTAGAATTAAAGAAAGAAACCATGCATCGTTATAGAAACCATCCATGTTCATTAGGAAGGAAATCTGCCTTCCTACCTTGGTCTGACCTACATGTGACTCCTGACCCACAGCAGTGTGGATGACTCTTTGAATGCCCTCAGGGCAGTTAGGGAAGGGTGATAGGTACTGTCCTAGGCGGTGATGCTCATATGTTGTGAATGAATTTTTTAAAAAGTATATTAAGCTTCATTTACATATTACTTATAAATTGCCGATTATCTCATTATGTTTTTATAGTATGACTGATGAAGGTAATCAATTCCATGTTAAAAACCACTAATATGAAAACCATCAGCTCACAAACCTTGTCAAAGAAGAATGTGACAAGTAACATTATTGTCATTGTTCACAACTCCCTGGGTGAACAAACAGCACAGCACATGTGCAATATTATTCCCACAATAAAATCATTTCTTTTCTTCCTGCCAATACTCTCCTCTCCCATTCACTCCTCATTTCTCCACAATATTATATTCCTCCACACTTCCTCTTCACCTTACCTCTCCATTTTCCATTTCCCATTCTTGCCTTTTCCTTTCCACCCTCTCTTGTCACCTCACTATATCTCTTTGACTAACCTTAGCCTCTAATCAGCTGTTTCCTCCCTTTGAAGTCAGTGACACTTCATTCAAAATGCTGAGAATTTCAAGATTTTCCATTGCTATACCAAAACTGGAAATCTTAGCTCATTTCCTTCTCTTTTGGAGAAGGCAATTAATGGAATCTTTCACTGAGGTTTGCTTACTCACCATGGTTGGCTTGTGTTTTGAGGAGAGATTGAGCATTTTAAGCCCATGCCAACTAGAGTTTAGAAGAATGAGAGAGTCTAGAACTGGGGCTCACTTTAAAAATGAGGAGTCACCCATTTAAGAAGGGAATAAGGAGAATCATTAACATACCGATGTTTGTGGTTCTCTGAAAAGACAGTGGAAGCAGAGCCTTGGAATATTTTTAAGGCAGAGGTAGATAGATTCTTGATAAGCGAGGGGGGTGAAAGGTCATTGGGAGTAAGTGGAAATGTGGAGTAATTAGATGCCATGATGTTATTGAATAC